CATTTTTAAAATGGTCTAGACTGTTAGCAACTATTTTTTGGCTCAGAGACAGACTACAGTCAATAGAGGCCTCTTTAATGTTCCTTTAGGCTTGGGGGTTGGCTGGTTTTGCCTTTTATTTTACAGCTTCTAAAAAGAAAGTTTATGTGAGTTTTCTCATACCTTTTGTAACCTGTAGGTTTGAGCAAACATGACTTAAAATAAGCTTTCAAATGCATTATCTAAAATAATGGAAAATGAAGTGCTGGAGGCATTTTCTTCCATGCACTTAAGAAGTTTATATTTCACTCTGCCACACCAAATATCTCACAATTAGCAAGCTGCACTCTAAGCTTGACACTGTGATATACTGTAATCCTTTAATGAAAGTCCAGGAAATGGATGATCTACGACTGAATGTCCTGCCCTTGTTACCAAAATTTTCTTTTGCAAATTGCACTGAATTGGATGTGCAGTATGTCACTCTTGCAGATTATAATGAGCAAAAAAGGCTGATGAAAGACAATGTGTTGCAATATGTTGAGTGCAATCAGTGCACTGAGCCTAGGTGAATAATGGGATAAGTGGAATGCTGGGACTGTGCTCCAACATTCTTGCAGTACAACAGAATCTGTCAATTACTTGATCTGCCTGTTTATTTTCATAATCCTACATTCTTCAAAGACATTGATTTGGTAGTTTGCTGGAAAAAAAACTGCAATGTATACAATGGTCTACAAAACAAAACAGCTCTTGGGGGAAGAGTGCCTAGCTTTTGAGAAAGAGCCGGAAGGTTTTCTTCTATCAGGGTTTTTCTTTCTGCATTATGGAGTTTATAACAGATGTTCGGGAGGAAAGCCACATTGTGATCTCCCACACTCCCTCTCACCTATATACACAGTACAGTATAAGTCTCGCACATAGATCTCCCCCAAGTGTATCTCCCTCAAAGTCATTTTTCCTGAATTCAGCCTCATGCTTTTCTTCAGGTACAGTAGGTAATTCTTGTTTTATTTAAATGATTGAACTAAATCTAGTGTGACCAAAAATAGCATGATACCTCAGTACTTGTTCAGTGCGCTGTTCAGGTGTATATTTTCTGTCTTCCACTGATTTTTTTTAATCAGCTAGAATAAGTAAAACTGGAGCATTTGGAAGACAAATAAGAGCAATATATATTTACCTACAAGAAGGATGAGGGCTGACTGAGTGTAATGGAAATAGATTGTAGTGTGGGTAAGAAAGTTATCTGCATAACCTGCTAATAAATCAAACCTCTAGACTGAGCAACAAAAGGGATTAGTTAATGAAATTCACCGTAAATACCAAGTGTCATGATGCATAAACCTGTCAGTGAGGAGATCACTCACCAAAATACGTTGAGGCAGAGACTGTGATGTAGCAGCAGATGGACTTGGTAGAAGAATGGGTCAGGGTCAGATAGCTGTTCTGATGAAGGACAGGAGCATCTTATCACCCCTGCTGCAATCACTCATAACCTATATCAGAGCAAGTGAAATAATTCAAAACATTTGCAGCATGGAGCATGAAGTTTTAGCATTAAATGGTAATCTACACATACTGTATTTAGATTTTGGGAGTTGGAGTTCATGAATTCAGATTACTGAATTTCTAACTCCACACTACAATTGTTAGCTTCTAGTTTTATATCACATATAAACCTGTAAATGCATATCTATAGACATGTATTTGAGACAGATCACATAAGTATTCTATCAGTGAATACTGAGTTCTGGGTTTCTGCTCGGATAGCTGTTTATGAAGTGGCCATGATAGCCAATATGTGGAAATGACAAGAGTAAAGTATCAGCTGGGTCCTTAGTTCCTGATTTCAAAGCCCCAGTGATGATTGTGCAGGTAGGTTTTCAATGCTTATGGTCATTTTCTATTTGCACTTTCTGCTGTAGTTGCTTGAAACATCTGGAATTTCATTCCTGACACTTTGACAAAGTGCATCAGCCTATACTGCACTTGAGAGCAAATTATTTGGACTCACACTCAGCAAGCATTTTTATTTTATGGTCTGAATCTTTACTGTTACAAATCTCAGGTATAGAATTTGCCACCCCTGACTTTCTGTAAATACATATCTCTGATTTATCATCATTTATCAATATGTTCTTTCATTTACAAGCATGTGTCTAGCAAAATGCAACATAGTGTTAGGGGGTCCCCTTTTATTTATGAATTCCATCAATGCAGCTTGGACTAGTTGTTGGGCCCCTGTGATGTACAGTAGATAGCAAGCTATCTCCACCTTCATTTGACATGAAGCTTCCAGTCATCTTAATGCATAGTGCTCTGTATTGAAAATTAAGCACCTGGAAGTAACCCCGTGCATCTGCAGCAGTATATTATGGGTCATCCCCATCCCTCTCTGGCCCAGGATCCCTCTTCTGAGTTATTACCTGCTTAGCTGCACATACCAGGAAACTGGTGTCACAAAGTGGGAGATGTGCAGCTCTCAAGCAATCAGAGAGTGACAGCCACAAAGACAGGTCAATTATTGAACTCATAACTCACTTTAATACGTCTGTCAGACAGAGCTGTGAATCACCCAGTTTTAACTTCGCCAGAGAGGATGTGGAATGAAAAACAGGAAAGAGGCTTCTTGGCATTAGCTGTAACCACTTTCTTTGCCCTGTAACTACATGTGTTAATTGCATTTTTGTGACTCAAAGTACTGAAAGCAGAGGTTTAGTGCACCTGGTGTCACATTAGATGTCTAAAGACTATTTTCTGTCTGGAGGCAGAACTTGGGGAATTTGTTTTTGCCAAATATCTGATCATTTAGTATTCAGTTTCTGACAGACGTGGTTCAGAATACCAGAATGTGTACCAATTTCTAAGCATTCTTAGTTAATTCTTTAATTTCTTGTCATGTTTTATAACAAGAAATGCTGTAATATCAGTTAATCATAGTTGGACATCCACACGCTGTACTAACCCTCCTCAGCAGCGCTACTTACTACATAGTACACACCCCAACCTGACTATGCAGGAGATGGCGGGATTCCCTTCATGCATCGTTACCACTAATTCACTTTGTGTGTCTAATAAAATGGCCATACTCAGCAAAGAAACAGAGAATCTGCTTCATCTTCCAATGCTTAAGCACCTTTAGAGAGATCAATACCAGTTGTTAGAGGGTTAAACTAGCAAACAAAATGCCTTTTTCTCCATCTGCTATTTTAGTGCCTGTTCCTTAGTGGATACATATCCATATGATGCATTTCACCAAGACCACCCACTAATCACAGACAGGAAGAATGAATAGCAGTACAACCAGATGTAAAAATACTCAAGTGTTGAATCAATTGCTGATCTGCCTCTTTTTATTGTTATTTGCCTCTCATGAGCTACATAGACTTTGGAAGACAGCAGCCATTACTTATTGGAATTGATGGCATGAGCTCTCAAGTGCAGATACTCAATTTATCACAGAGTTTCCCATAGGTTTGTACAGTTACTTTGCAACACTAAACAATGCTCCATAAATTATCCTTTTTTTTTTTTAAGGTCCCACAGTGACAAATGCCTGGTACTACACTTATTCCAACACCACCAACAAGTCTGTTTTTTCCCCCTACACTTTAAGCATCTTGCTTTATGACCTTCTAAGATCCTAGCTCTTCCATGATGCATCCCTCTTGGGAAAGACTGCATGGTCTTCCCCCTAATTTGCTCTTCACTTGGTTTTACTCACACAAGTCACTAGCTTATTAGGACTGGAGTTTTCAACATGATTAACTCCCTATCACTCAGTTCTTAATCTTCACTTATTACTCATTAACAGCCAGGGAATGGAGTCACAAAGACTACTTCAAAGTCTTCACTCTTATTCTTCACTAACATACAGTAACTCTCCTCATCACTAGCTATCCCAGCTGATCCTGGTTGGCTAGGGACTCCTCCTTGTAGCTAACACTTGCTGTCCTGACAGAAGCATCTACCAGTTTGTTTCTATAACCCCTGAAACTACAAGACCACTTTTCCCACAGACAAGTCCCAGGGAATTATCAGGACTCAACTTGTGTTATCTAGACTGCTAGACCACATAGCAAGACCCTTCTTCCGTCTAGCTGTTCTTATAAGCCTCTTAATTAGCTCAGAGGCGTGGCCAGTCCCACACAGAGCCTATCACACCAGCTCTTTTCTCTCATGTGGAATTTCACCACCTCTGACTGCCAGTTACTCAATCAAGCCAGCTGTGCCTCATTGTGCAGGTTTTTTCCAATTAGCAGGCAGCTTTCCATAAAACCACCTCTCACTGCTTCATCACCATTTTTAACTTCACTTGGTCAAAAGCTCATTATTTAGGGAGATTGCCCCCGAAAGACAATTCAAAATATCCCTAACATGGATCGAGCTTTGTTGATATTTAATTATTTTTATGGAAATGATTATACAAACCTAAATTACATTAAATTACATGATATGTGTAAGTCTTAAATATTAACCACACCTGAAGTTTATATAATGGACCTAGACACAGTATTAGTATTGTGCTGGTTTAACTTTCAAGGCTGCAATATGGCTGTAATTGATTTGAAATAGAAGTTTAAGTAGATTATTTTAGCAGTGAAAGCTTAGTCATCAGTTATGATTTGGATTACAGGGTTTTTAAAACAATTTTCATAATATTGGCTTACTTTAGATGACCAAGGCGAAAGCCAAAATCATTCTACTTAAAGTTACCCATTAATGCCAATTCTATTTTCTGCGTCAGCATCAGCAAACTGCAATACACTTATTGTTGCACCTTTTCATACCAAGAAACTTATATTTGATGTCAATGTTTTTATTACGGTACCAATTTAAAATCCAGTCCACTTTATCTAAGATAATGAAGTCTTCAGGTTATTGTGTTCATGTCTCTTACATGCTAGCTCGTCAGGACAAGGAAATCCATACAGACACCTCTAACCATATCATATCAATTCTGATTTTCAGATTTATGTATAATAGTATGACAATGAAAGTACAGAAACAGACAGTAATGAGTTCAGAAGCCTGGAGCAGGCTGTATCTGTTTATTATATGGTGCATTACACACACTTTATAATTCTTGCACATACTGGTAGTGATTCAAGCCTCTAAAAATAAAAATACTCTCAAGATTAAATAAGATAGTGCTTTTACCTTTAATCTTAAATACACATTCAGGTGCTTTGGTATGCAGCACTGAAACATAAATAATATTCAAAAAGACAAAGTCATTCAAGTAAAACTGAAACAGTTCTTCCCTGTTCACAGGACTAATTTAATTTAGCTAATTATGATATATGGGTTCCAAGGTTTTCCTCTAATGTTTCTACTGTATCTCTTGAGCTCATTCCTTCATGTGAGAGCCGAGACATGTGAAAGGTCATTGCTGACATTTCTTCTCCACCTGCCTCTTGGCCTTGTTCTGCAGGTAGCGCACTTTCCCTTCTTCGAAGCGTTTCTTCTCCTCCTCAGTTTCAAGCTGTGAAGATATGCAATTAAAAGGAAATTAACACAAAATATACTCTTCTGGCTTCACACAACTCTCTATCTGTTTATGCCCTACCCAATACCAGGTGAAGTGCACAGAGGCACCAGGTCTACTCTAAGTTTTCAGAATGGGTATGGAAGTTTTCATGATGAGAAACCCTCACTACCATTTCCTACAGCACCCCTCTAGCCAAGGTTTCTATTCTTTGTGATTTCTGTTCATGTGAATTTCAAGTCTTGCACAGCTTCTCAACTATGTTTGTCAAAGCAGCAACACAAGCAGGAGTTGTTGTTTTTTTTGTGTTTTTGAGCAGTAGGGTGTTCCTGTCATTCAGGCAAAGGGAAATGAAATGTTCTTAAAGTTATTTGTTTTGTACTGGCATTGCTATAATTATATTTAATGAACGTTAAGATTAGGATATAAAAGACTGAATGGAAAAGAACACAAATCTCCAGAGAGTCACAGAAGGAATTTAAAATTGTAAAAGAAACCAGAGCTGTCCTCTCTGTTTCTGAATTTAAACCAGATGATGTGGGTTTAGCACTGTTAACAGAAAGCGAGCATGTAAGTTTAAATATGCATGGATGAGTAATATACTGGTTGTTATTGCTTTATTACTGATGTCCTCAGTGTCCAACCAAATCTTCCTAGGTATAATCTGTCATCTAGCTGCTTCAGTTTTTATTATTTGCCTTACAACTTGCTTTAGCTAAAACGACTCCAGTGTGATGTGAGAAAATAAACAGGACTTCAGAGAACTGTCAGCTGCATAACACTTTCCCGTTGGTCAGCCTTGACAGTTCCTTTCACAAGCCACCTTGTTTTGCACCACTGTGTCATAGAATGCCGACAAGCATTTCCAGCAAAACAAAACAGAAACTCAGTGAAAGAACTCAAAAGAAGATGCTGCAATATGTAGGCACGAAATGAGAGAAAATGCATTGCAGAAGAGTTTCAGATGATAGAAAGTGTGCTGGATTAAGGGGGGGGGGTCTGTCACCCACACTAAGACGTCCCAGCCATCACCACCCCTCACCTCCTCCGCTGTGCCACCCTCTCATTATCTCCTAGCTGCTGTAAATCGGATTGCTTATGCCATGCAACCGGGAAGCCCTAAATGAGGGAGCCAAATAAACAATCCCTTTGTGCCTCTGATGTCCCCAGGCTGTGTGATGTGCACACTGGCTTTGTACCTGCGCTCCTGTTGTCTTTGTTGTGCCACACTGAGACTCCTCCTTCTCTACCGGCCCACTCGCTGGTGCGTAAGGCTCCTGAGTCATCTCCCACATCAGCTCCGTTTCACACCATTAAGAGGTCCTCTGTGTGTGGGCTTTTCTAGCTAATGAACTGACTTCACTCAAGCTTCTTCTCTCCGCAGAGATTAAGGAACAGTTCCCTGTCTCCAGCACGGTGGGAGCTGAGATAATGCTGTGTTTCAGCTTGTATAGCAAACCCATCTCTGCCAGGATATGTTGGATGTACACTAAGGCAACTTTTATAAAAGAGCATGAATAAGATGAACAAATCCTTACTGGTTTTGTGTTATCATTATAGTTCTTATTGTTCAGTTAGTGTTAAATACAAAAAAAATTGTATAATCATAATACATGTTCATCTTAGATGACAGAGGAAGTTTTCCTATTCAGCAGAATAAAATAATCCACCTTAGCATTTGTTTGCAGGCTAGATACTGTATGGGTAGTTTTTTTTTGTAGTTTTTGAACATTGTAAGTGATCTAATTAGAATATTAGAACATTAATTACTGTGGATTGAATCAAACCTGTGCTTTTTAGGAAAGCTTTTGAGCAGACAGTGAAAAGCTTTGTGGTAGAGCAAATGGTTGTCTCTTTTTGGTGTTTCAATAAAGTTTTTGGAGCCTGATAATGAACACAGTGAGTCTACATTTACTTTTCAGAGTTTGGTTTTGACCTGGCACCTTAAAGAATTGACATGCAGGAGTTTATTATTTTTTCAATAAGCTGTGCTAAAACCAACTCAAAGAGATGAATGCAAGTCAAAACAGAGCTTGATGAAAATGCACTGTGCAGCATAGGGGGCTGTACAGTCTCACGCTGGACTTCATGCTTAATTGAAAACAGCACTAAATAAACCCAGCTCAATCAGCATGTGCTATCCAAGATCGGAGTTGAAAATGACTGATGGAGATTGGCAGATTGGAGATGAGTGAATTCATGTAGAAAACAAGGCACAATGATGAAGGCAGTGAATGGTGTTGATAGAAAGGAGTATTCACAGAAATATTATAGTGTAGGTCTCATGAAATAATGTTTCAGTTGAGGCCTGTTCTTGGTCAACTGAAGGTGGGTTCAAATACTGCATTATAGGCATAGAACTTTGGAACTAGGAACTTTATACTAGGTCACAACATGTGCCCTGCTTCTCTATCTCTTACTGTGTACTTACATGAAAAATAACACAGGGAAAAAACATAATCCCAGTCATCAATAACTTTAATTCAGTTTAAAGAGAGTGAAAAAAGACTTTGAGAGCCTAACAAAACAAGATCTATTAGGAATTACAAGAAATAACTGATGTTGCAAGACTTTGAGGAGTGCAAAAATTAATAAAAACTAAGGTAACCTGACGCAATATGATTATTGAAATAAAAGGTAGACAAGATGCATATATTCAAAACAAGAGAACCTACCCAGACAGCAACCATTAATCCTACAACAGTCTGTGCTGAGGTTTTATTTATATCTGAAAGTCAAAGTTGTGAAACGGGAAAGCCGAGTAGCTTCCAAAATCATCACGAGTTCTATATTATAACAACTTGACTGACAGAATAATACTTGTGCTATGAAAGTAAAAATAAAACTTCTGTATTGAAAGACAAAGCAAAAGAAACTTTTTTGAAAATCATTTTTTGCCTTACCCTCACCACTATCCCCTGATCTCTCAAATATACATTTACAAATGGCTTCTTAGAAAAACTGCATGACAGATATTGCACCATATTATACAGTTAATTTTTGTAACTCTCACATTACCATAACCTTTCACATCGAACTTGATGGAAAAGGAAAGCATTCAAACATTTTGTCACAAAATCTTTGAAATGCATGTGCAAAGTGTAGAGTCAATTTATTCATTGGATCAGTTGGTAACCACACTGCATTTATGAACACATTCAACACAAGCTACCATTCAAAACAAGAAAGTCTTTGCACTAAATACAGTACTGCTACAATCATCCCAAGATGAGCTCAATCAAGCAGTAGGTATGCTTCAAACGGACATGTCCCAACAAGCTGTTGTAGACTACTTCAGATGTCACAGAAACCCCATCAGTGTACTTCTGAGACATTACAATTGGAGCTGTAATGTCAATGATAGGGCACATTCAAGACGTCCATGTGTAATGACACTGGCATAAGACAGATGGATCAGGGTCATGGTCCTCTGTAATCGCCTTCACACAGCTGCTTCAAGAGCAAGAACACTACCTAGCAAGTGACTGATGGATTTTGTGAGTTGCAATTTTAATTGATGTTATAGGGCCCCAGACTCAAGACTCGCATTACTGAGGTGTGTGCACTGTTTCAGGCATGTGTCAACCATTTTAGATTTAGTTATTTTTGGTATGTCTTAAACCTAAACAATAAAACATGTATTTTTCAGGCTGTGTGTACAATATATTATATATGGATAGCCTGGTGGCAAAGTAATTAGTAAAACTACTTCTTAGCCCTATTGTGCCATGGTCAGTTCTAGCCTCTGGTGTATGTTAGGGTGGAATTTGCACACTTAAGAGCAGTTCTGTGCTCACAGCTCTTGCCCTAAGCTTCTATGACAGAATCTGGCCAGTCTTTACTCTCACTGGAACCAATGGGTTTCCAATGATGGATGGAATGTACAGTACACACTGTATAAAGTATGGAGTGTTATACAAACATCAGTTACAATCTGTTGTGTGAAGACTGATAGTCCATGCTGAGTATTTTATAACAGCCAAGTCACAATATTTTACATTTCTGTTTCTTTTTCTGTAAATTGACTTTTGCAAAATCAAGAAACTAAGCCTCATGCAGGTATCGGGAAAATTGCTAACATATTAAAAGTGCTTCCTAATTTTAAAATTCAACACGGTGTTTGGACCTGAAATCTGTATCCCTTTTCACTGTGTAATCAGACTCTATGTGGCCAGAGAGGTTGAGTGCAACAAAATAGCAAACGTATTAAACATAGTCTTCTAAAGTGCAAGGTTTCCAACTAGAAACAGAGCAGAGCCTGAATCATTACAGCATTCACACTGTACATAGAGAGATATCAGAGACTGTTGCCCAGTAATTGGCACCATTCACATGCTTATTAACAACCACCTTGTTAAAAACAACTTAAATTTGCTTTTTGATCTGGTATGGCATTGCTTTTTTTCTCTACACCTGTATATTGCATCACTGGTAATTAAAGAGAGACTGAAGAAATTAGGAACCAGAAGTTTCCAGCTTTCTGGCCAGACATTCACTAAATCCAATGGTTTTTAAATATGAGGTGGGCGTTTTTCATGGCACTCATGACCTCCTGCTCCTGTTGGGAAACAAGTGTGTGAAGAAATGAAGGTGACTTTGTGCCTGAGATGAATACCTCTATACTAAGCACCAGGGTTTTGCAAAATTGTGTCTGAAGTGCATCTCTGTTTCTTTAGTACCAGGTTAGACCTGACAGTGTGCTCAACATATCTACTCTTTTTTAGTTTTAATCACACTGACACACATACTGGCATGAAAACTTAACCAGCGTCCTCCCCTTCCAATTCCTGCTGTAAGCTAACAATCCACCTTGTAGATTTGTGCCATATGGCTTACAGTATCTAAACCCTTAATTTTTTTCACCTTGACTCTGGTGTTTTTTTGGCAAGCAGCGTGTTTTTGATCAGTCCAGCATGAAGTCGAAACTCTCAGGCTTCTCTGCATCATTGTAGCCCAATCCTTTTGTACCTGCGTTGCTCCATGCAAAGCCTGACATT